CCACAAGAGTGGCAACAGGCATGTCTTATTTGCCTACATGTCTGCCGAGGTTCTTAAACACTTTCGGTCATTTTCTTTACATACTATAAACCTTTGCACAATTTCCTTAATAGTTATTGGTCTCAGTTATCACACCTGCAGATGGATTAATAATAATTCCTATTCTATGGGGATATCAAAATAATTAAGTGAAGTAAGACTTACAAACTTTCTTAGGACAGTGAAAAATAGTATGAATTAAATGCTCTTATAGTTAGACATCAGATGTGAGAAATCCATAGATGGGTAAGTAGAGAAATGTGTATTATAAATCAAATAAAAGGCCCCGACATATCATTTTATTCTCTGTTATTTCATCTCTTCATTTTTTGGAGGTCCATTTTCAGCCCTCGTGTCGGGATGGGGTGGGGATTGACAGGAGGCAGCACAAGTTTTATTAAAGACTTCACATTTGCTAAATGAATGTAACTTGGGGTTTGTGCCTTCAAACAACAAAACTAACAATAATAACAAAAGGATGACTTCAAGTGAAGTAGCACACATTATTCGTGTGTTATGGATAACTGCTCAGTCAATTTAATGTTAAAACTTCCTTTCAGAATTATTTTTCTCTCTAATTACTCCTTTACTTCTCCCCAATATAACACCTTCAAAATCTACAAGGATAGCTTTAATTGCTGTAGTTCTCTAAGACACGCAGCTTTGGACAGCTACTCTGATAAGGTGACAATATTCCAAGAGCTTCCTCTTAGTCTTTCCTAATTTATAATTCCCATATCAGAGTGCAAATATCTAAAATGGGAATTCTGTCAGTTACTAAGTCTGTCTAGTCCAACTGTTCATTCATAAGTAATACAGTAATTGATATGAAATATTAATAACATTCAACATTCAGGTATTAACATCAATTTGAAGCCCGTGTTTAAGAACTCTGAAACATTTGGCTTTTCCCTTTTCCCTGTGCAGTAATTCTGTCAATGGCCTTTTATGTTTTTGTGGCAGCCTGCTCGGAAGATTTACAATATGGAACCGTGAGAGGGTCTCAAGATAGTGCCTTGGTGTCACCTAGTCTTTTAGGCCTTGAAGGATTTCCAAGTCTGGGCTATTACAGAAGAGCTCTTAGAAACACAGATCCCCAAAGGAGTAGAAATGACCCTGGGGATTCAGAGATTGTAACTCTTTACGGGAGTAGAGAAGCTCATCTTTCTCTCATGGAGTGACTGGTGGTTTTGCATTGCTCAACTTGTGGTTTGCAGTGCAATTTGTAATCGACTATTCCACCAGGGAATATATCATAATATATTAAGGGTAACATAGCAAAAAGTGGGAATTTCACAGCATTCAATTGTTCTCATGTGGAAATTGTACAATCCCTGGAACATAACAAGGGAACGGGGAACTACTGCATGATTTACAATCAGGAATGGTGAGTGCTTGGGCCGTACCCAATCACCTTAGATATTTAATTTGTAGAGGGAGCAAATATTCTGAGAATCTGGGCTATATGGAACAGGATCAGGGATTCACTAATATCCTGCTACATGCATGGGGACACCAACACTGATGCTGAAAGTAGAGAGGACTTGAAGAACTAACTAATGAAATTCTAAGAATAAAGCTTTAACATAAAGAAAACAGATTTGTTACAAGTGGAACAATAAGAATCATATGACAAATGAAGAAAGATTCACCCTGTCAATCATTTCATTTAACTTGAATATATAATCAATGGAGGTGGCGGTAAGGAATGAAATGACTTATTGATTTGGTCAAATCTACTCTTTGAAAGATCTCTTAAAAGTTTTGAAAAATAAATGTCACTTTGAGAATTAAGGTGCCCTTGACCCAATCCTTGTCTTTTTAATCACTTTAATTGCATGTGAAAGTGCAAAATGAATAAGAATGACAAAAGAAGATTTGATGATTTGAATTATAGTGTTAGAGAGTAATATCAAATGCTCCAGGAATTGCCAGAAGAACAATATAATCTATGTTGAAAGTTAAGTCAGTAAGCTCCTTAAAATTGAGGATTTTGGGACTTCTTGGATACTTTGGACATGCTTACAAACGACTAGCCTTGAAGAAAGACATCATGCTTGAAAAACTGCAGGAACAGCAACAAATAGGGAGACTTTCAAGGAGATGGATTCCATCTGTCTACTGGCTACAAAAATAGTTTTAAACATAGTGAAGGTTGTGCAGTGGTGCAAATTTTGTAGGCTTGATTTTTCTGTTTTTTTCTGTGATCGTTGTTAGCTTTTTAAAACTCAGTTTTTGTATGTGTTTTTGATATATGAGATCGAGGATTGGTGAAGCAATAGAGACGGTAACTGGATTAATGGCTCATTGAGGGTATGGCAGAAGGGCTAAGGGAAAATGGGGAACTAATAACAGTACAAAAAGGAAGAAAATCTTCTAAATTGAGTGAGTAAGGTCTGTAAAACTCTTCTTAATATGACTGACAAGAGAGTAAATAATACTTTTAAAAGACATATACTAGATTTAAAAACTCAATTGGCTTGAAGTAAAATGATGAATTAAAATGAAGATATGGGCAAGGATTAATATGAAAAGGGCAAGGATTGTTACAGTTATATCTGACTAGATATTTTAATACAAGAAGAGTTACTAGAACATTTTATATTCAAAAAAGGAGAGTTCATCAAAACACATAAGAATTATAAGCACAGCATGAACACATTTGCTTACAGGAGAGCAAAACTGATAAAATTAAAGAGAAAAATGGTCAATGCAGTGATAACATTGGGAATCTCAATACCATAGTTCTCATAATATATAGACTAACTAGATAGCAGATCTATAAGGAAATAAAATACTTAACTAATATAAATAACTGGAACTTTATAGAGCTATCAAACTCCATTCAACAATATCAGATTAAATATCCATCATAAGTGTACATAGAACTGACTACAGGACAGACCATATGCAAGGTTATAAATATGTCTCAATAAGTTTAAAAGTTGTGAAATAATACAAAATACACTTTCCAAAAATATGCTCTCCATTAATAAATTAGATACCAATAATGTTTGGATAATGAGAAACTCACAATATATGAAAAATAAGCACACTCTTAAATAATCAATACATCATAAAGGAAATTAAAAAATCAAATAGACTTTGGAAGTTCACTCAGTATGCTCTTTAGAAGTGAGGATTGTGAGATTTTTTCTCACATACTTTGAACATGTTCATGAGTGGCAGTTCATTTAAAAAATAAACTAAGGAATAAAATCACAGTGCATCAATTTTTATGCGTACAGCTAAAGTAATGCCTAGAGGTAAATTGTTAGCTGTGGAAACAGACCTGTTTGTTGGTGACTGAGACAGGATTATTGAACTTTGTCAAATCTGTGATTCCATTCTTGGAAACATTTTTCAAACTCATCTGTTTGGATGGCTGACAGTACCTCCCTTGTTTTCTTCTTTACCTCTTCTACGTCATCAAATTGCTGTCCTTTCATGTCCCTCTTCACTCGCAGAAATAAAACAAAGTCACACCAAATGAGGTCAGGTGAATAGAGAGGCATGCCCTTTTTTTGCCAGAAACCAGAGCACTGAGGTGGCTGCATGAGAAGGTGCATTTTCCTGGTGGCAAAACCAGTCCTCCAGCTGCCGTAAGTCAGGCCGTTTTTGTTGCACATTGTTTCGCTATCTTTTCAAAACCTATAAATAGAAAGCTTGATTAGCAGTCTGACCTGGTGGAACAAACTCCAAATGCTAATCTCCCTCACATCAGAGGAGCTTTATCATTTTGGGGGGGTACCCCTTCGTATGTTTATGTATATGCGGGTCAGCTTTTTGGTTTGTTTCTAAAAATCAGCTATTTCAGGTCCAGGATGCATAATTAGAATTATTTAATTCCTTCAGAGTTGATCCTTTCTTAATTATTGAAAGTTATTCCTTTTCTTGGTAATGATCTTTACGCTGAGGTAACATTGATATTGATTTAATAGTATCTCTAGTATTCTTATGATTAATATTTAAGTATTCATACATTAAGTTTTCCATATTCATATTTAATACAATCAAATGACCTCTAAAGTGTTTAGAATAATTTTGTTTCATGTGATTATTGTGGTTTTATTGATATCTACCTTTTTTTTTTTACCTTGTGTTCTTTGCTATGTTTTACCCCATTTAGCTACTTTATTTTGGATTTATTAAATTGTCATTGAAATCTCATAAAAATAAGCCTCATTGCCTCAACATATATTGAAAATAAAATAAAATTTTCTCATAATATAATAGGGTTGGATAATCAAGTATTATATCAGTGAGCTTCAAAAAGTCTGTGGAAAAATCTTAATACCGTGAATTCCATTTTTTCCCATGAACTTTTTCAAGTTCTCTTGTATTTGGTGTCAGTAGATTGCATCCTTACAAAAAGCTGAATTGGGAGAGTTGTATAATTAGTTTATTTATAATAACAATAAACTAACTGCTGAGGCTGCTTATATACATCCAAAGTACAAGTGGGATTTAATTTCTGGTCTAGGATTTACAGTCATGATTCATGGGATGTACAGCTAATTGGATTAATAGCATGTTCTAGATCCTAGTTAAGGAGCCCTGGTGGCATAGCTGGGTTATGCTTAGGGCCGCTAACTGCAAAGTTAGCCATTTGAAAGCTGTCCAAGGGAAACAGATGAGGCTTTCTACTCCTAAAGATTTATAGCCTCAGATACAAATAGGCGCGGTTCAACTCTATCCTATAGAGTACACTATGAGTCAAAATTGACTAGACGGCAGTGAGAGAGACCCTAGTTTACCACATATGGCCTAAATCCTTAAAAGATTACAAGGGCCTTTCCAAAGTACATTGATTCTCTATTTGTCTGGGGTAACAGAGCAAGAGAGTAATGAAGGGAGGATGAAATTGAATATGTGGCTATGGAATTGCCTCCCTAAACAGCTGCTTCCTTTGCCATGAGACCAGAAGAACTGAATGGTGCCTCACTACTATTATTAATTCTATATTTCTGTGCAACCATTTCATGCAGCAGGAGGACACTAAAATCCCTTCCTCTTCAGATCACGGCAAAAACCACTCTCTCCCACAAGTGTAAGCACTTTAATCTGTTAGTAAGCCCTGAAGTAGTAGGCAAAGGAGAATATTATTGAACATTTTGAGAAGAGAATTCCAGAGACGAATCCTTATCAAACGGGAGAAAACCGAGAAGAGAACTTCACAACTGCAAGCAGAACTCTAGACTTGATGGGGTCCTGGAGACCGGATGAACTTTTCAAACTATTGTTTTCTGATAGTATTTCAACTTTGATCCAAGAATTTCCCTGATGTCTTCTTAAACTGAAACAATACTTTAGCTTAACTAGTAAAAATTGGCTGCCTTGAACAGTATGCCCTTTAAAGAACTATGTATGTGAGATAAAACCGATTCATGGTAACAGGAAGATCAGATAGGAAATTTAGGGTGCAATGAGTTTTTGTTAAGGGAGAAGAGTAATTTAGAAAGGAAAGTGAAAGTTGAAGAATGTAATCATTATTACTAAGTAGTATATGTAGATATTGTTGAATTGGTGTTTCATTGCATATATTCTCAGTAACAACAAACTGAACAAGATTTCTTTTTAAGAAAAAAGGAGCAATTCTGGTTATAATAATATAAAATAAATTTATAAAGATTATAAAGTTAAAAATGATCTATCTTATTTCAATGCCTTGCCTAAACTCCTTCAATGATATAATAGCTGAGCCAAGACTAGAATACTACTTGTACTATTGAACTAATCTGTCTTAGCAAAAAAAACAAATTAATAGATTGCACTTTTATTTCTATTGTATTACCTTTTGTTTTTTGTACTTTTATTTCTGTATTGTTACCTTTTCGGCACACTATAAATTCTTCAAGTCCACCCAGAGACACCTCGTAAGGAAGTCCTAATGATCTTGGTCTTAGAATTCAACCATTGAATAATGTATGGAGTATGGTTCTATCCTGACACACACGAGACTCATGATTTGGAACAGACGTAACAACTGGATTAGAAGATGGAAGTCTATCATTCAACTAGAAATTAGGCCTCGGGCTGTGAACTGCAAGGTCACAGTTCAAAACGACCACACTTTCAGAGTGAAAAAGAAGAAGCTTTCAACGCCCCTAAAGAGTCCCTGTTGCAGAAATCCACACGGGGCAGTTCTCTGTCCTATAGGGCTGTTATGAGTCAAAATTGACTCAAGGGCAGTTTTTTGTTTTTTTTCAGGGGTGGGGGTGGTTTTTGTTATTTTTCTACCAGGACTATCTCATAAGTGCTGCCAATGTCTCTGCCTTCATAGTATTTACATTTGAGAAGAGGATTAGTGAATGATCTATTGAGAGCCCTAAACAGGATGCAGAAATGAAGACAAGGAAAAGACACTGCTTGTGCTGTTGTTTTGGTGAGGTCCACCCATCTCTGACTTAGAGCTACCTTATTTACCACAGAAGGAAACACTGCTGGGGCCCGCAACCCTCACAACTGTTCTGATGTTTGAGTCCGGTGATGCAACTGCTGTGCCTGTCCATTCCTGAAGGGCTTCCCCTTTTTTGCTGACCAAGCAGGAAGTCCTTTTCCAAGGATTGCTTTCTCCTGACAATGTGCCCAACGTACCTGAGATCTGGGCTTGGTGTCCTCACTTCCTAGGAGCATTCTGGGTGGACTTCCTCCATGACAGAGGGGTGTGTCCTTCGTGTAGTCCTTGGTATTTTCAACACTATTCAACAATATAATAATTTTGATAGGATAAATTATCATATAATTGATACATATGCTAGAAATCTAATTAAGGTTGCAAAAATATGCTTCAGTTGAACGTTAGAAGATAAACAAGATCAA